CCGCGTGCCGCAGCCCTGCGCCTGTCGCACTGGCCTCGCAGGTCCCTGTGCTCCGCTGCCCCGGGCTGCACAACCTCCCGGGCCGGCGCGCCTAGTCACGCGCTGACTCCCTAGGTCCAAGTGAGCCGGTGATCAAGGGCCCCTGGCGCCACTGCCCCAGGGTCTGCATGCACGGCTTAACGTCTCCACCTTCCGCTGCCCTAAGGCCATACAGGGACGTCTCCACATCCTGGGGACCTCTTGTTCCTCGACTGGACTGGTACCTTTCTTTGGAGGTCTGCCAGGGAGTGTCCTAAGGACCTGGGGAAGTGGGGCTACAAATGCTGATATCCAATGACACCTTCGTCCCCCAGCTTCAAGAGCACCATTGCTGTTGGCCACTGGTGCCACGACAGGCCGGGGTGGTCACACGCTTGGTGGCACCTTCTCAGGATCAGCATGTGTCATACCAGGTACCCTTTTGTCCAGGTCCAAGTGCCCCAGACACTTATACCCCTGGAAATGCAAGCCGTCACTGGCTCCTGGGGTCACAGGGTCCTCATCCGTGGAGAGGAGAGGGTGCCCCTGCTGAACCAGCTTTTAGGGTCCCTGTATGGCACCCTTCTTTCCTTTCGTTCTGACTCTACTATCGTCAGAGAACCAGCAACGCCTGCTAGGGTGGAGAGGCTTGTGGGTTTCTGCTCTGTTTGGGAGAGAGAGAAAGGGCGGGAGACCTTGGGTTGTGCATTCATTCATTCATTCAGCAAACACTGGTGGCGGTGCAGTGACAGACGCGGACAGACGCGGACAGCCCCCAAAAGCTCCTCTTCAGCTGAGGGGAGGCAGGGCCGGGAAACACGGGCAAATGCCCGGCTGCAGTCTGTGGGCAGACCAGGCAGGAGCAGAGCAAAGGAAAGGTGCAGAGTGCCAGCAGAGTGACTAGACAGAAGGAGAGGGACCACTGAGGAGTGACGGTGACACTGAGCCCTGAGCAAGGAGCAGGAGCTCATCTTTGGCAGATCTGGAAAGAGACCTTGCTAGGTGGACAGAACAGCCATGCAGTGGCCTGGAATCAGGAGAGAGAAGTGTGGTGGAGTAACAGTGGAGGCAGCTAGGAGTGTTGGGCCCGGGGCCCCACGGGCTGTGTGGGCTTTGGCAGCGTGGCCCTGGGTCACCGCTTGTTCTTCTGCATCAGACCCCTAACAGAAGCTTACTTGCTCATTATCTGTCTCCCTGCTGATTATCAAGCTCCAGAGCAGGGCAAGACTGGGCGGCCTGCCCTTGGCCAGCAGCTTCACAGGCTAGGCACATCTGGAGAAGCCCTTTTCCCTGATGGAGGAATCCCGTGGGTTAGAGTTGATCATCTCGTAGAATCAGGTTACAGTCCACACAGAAGATCGCAGGACTAGCGTGTGAGCGGAGGTTCTCCAAACCTTGTGCACCTGAGTTCCCTGAGGAAGGCTTGTTTTCACCCTCAGAGTGTCTGACTCGGTGGGTCTGGAGTGGATCCCTTCTGGCAGGTTCTTTGGTGGTGCTAATGCTGTGGATCTGGGGATCATGCTTTGAGAATCCCCGATACTGAGACTTGAGCTCCAGCCCGTTTGGGTCTGACTGCAGAGCCCATGTAGATCCAATGAAGGACTCAAGCAGCTGCCTGTTGTGTAGGACCCAAGACCTCATGGCCCTCTCTAGAGAGGAGCTGTCCCTGGGGACTGGGCCTAGCAGGACACCACGCCCCCGAGTCAGATGTTGGCCTGACCTGCAGACAGGAGACCAGCCGCTGTGGAGACCCTCAGCGAGGACACTGCCTCCCTCCCGCCCTTCATCTGCATGCCACACTGCGCTCCAGTTCCGCTGCTGCCCGATCTTATCCGTGACTGTGCTAAACGACATCCAATAAAATCCTTCTAAATCCTTTTAAGGAATTCCCTCTGCAGTTCCTCCTTCTTCTTAGAGCCTTGCAGATTTCCAGCTCTCAGCTTATCTCCGTTCTCCTCCTGGGGAGCATCCCTTCCCAAGCTGCGTTGTGCGAATGGGTGTTGAGCACGCCTGGCAGCGCTCTGCAAAGACAGGGTCTTCTGATGCTTGCTGAGCACCTCCTGGGTGCTAGGTGGCCACTGGTGATCTGTAGCCATCAGAGGCACACATGCTGTTCATGGTGGGCTCTGGCCCACAGACTTGTTTTATTTGTCTCCACTGGGTCAGATTAAAAAAAAAAAAGTAATATGAGTCGCCAATCTTTAAACATCTGGAATTTTCACATACATTTCTTTTTCTTTTAAAATCCTGGGCAATCTGGCCAGCACCCTTTACCCAAGTAATGGGGTGGTACTGGGTCCTGGCACCCTGTTGCCTGTCCCTGTGGTTTGTCCTTCTGCTTTCATCATGTTTAAATTGCCACCAGGGCTCTGGAAGGCACAGCTGGTGCCTTGTCATCTTGGCAAATTGCCTAGGGCCACCTGGTAGATGGCACAGCTGGAAAGGAGCTGACCCCAGACCATCTGACCCCACAGCCCAAGCTCACCA